AAAAAAAAAAAAAAAAAAATTAATAAGAAAATGAAAATTGTAATAAAATTAAATATATATACATGTTCTATTTTTTTTTATAGGAAATATATTTTTACTGAAAATTCATATATGTTTATATGTTCAATTCTTACATTATTAGATAAAAAAATATATATATTTTTTTTTCCATTTTTAAAATCAAAAGATTCAAAATGTTTTTCATTCATTATTTCCCCATCATTCCATATAACTATATCACTTTCATTTAATACAACATTTTTTAGATTATTCTTTTCTTTAATTAAATATATTGATTCTTCTACTAGGTTTAACCATGATTTTAATAGAATTTTCCTTTTCATATCTTTATGAATTATTGAGACTTTATGTAATTCCTCCTACAAAATTTTAAAAAGTATTATATAAAATTTTTATATATAAAATTCTTTTTTATAGTCATATTTTTTGTTTGTATTTTATAATTTTTTTTTTTTATTACATTTGTACATGAAGATATAAAAATCCACAAAAAAATATTTATTAGAAATAATGAATTCATTATATTTCATAAATTAATATTGTTATTTCAAATTTTTTAAAAAAACATATACATATATATATATATATATATTATTATTTAATTTATTTAATAAAACTAGGAATGAATTTTTTTTTTAATTTTTCTCATTAGACAACACTATCTATTTATATTACAAAAGTAACAAAAAAAAAAAAAAAAAAAAAAAAATTATTTTAAATATTTATTTATAAATATTTTATAATATTCACTACAAAATTATTTCAATAAAAAAAAAAAAAAAAAAAAAGTTCTATTTATAATTTTCTTATATCATTTTTTTTAAAAAAGTTTAAAAATTATTTATGAATTTTTTAATTATATAAAAAGTAAGAATTTAAATTATAAATTATTAAAATAACATAAAATTGAAATTAATATTAAAAATATTTTTATTATTTGTCTTAAATTAGTAAAAAGTTAAAAAAAATATAGTAGAAATTAATTTTTTTTTTTTTTTTATTTTGTTGATATATATAGCTATAAATAATTATTATTATATAGAAAAAAAAAAAGACATATATATTTTTAATACATTTAATTCATGAATACATTTTTTTGAAAAAAATAAAAAAAAAATAAATGTAATATTTTTTAATTATTGTAAATTCTATACTTTTTTAGAAGGAATATTGATAAAAAAAATATTCTACTATTTAATGAAAACTATAACAAAAATAAAAAAAAAATAAAAAATATAGCAAAATAAAAAACTTTCTATAAAAGAAATATGTTTATTCGTTATTGAACAGCTTTAAACTAATTATAAATAATTTTTATTTTTAAAATATTCAATTTAATTTAATCATATTTTTACTTAATTTTCCTCTTTTTCTTTTAAAATGAAAAAATAATAGCATTATAGTTCTTATAAAAGATAACATACTTTTCTTTTTTTTTTTTAATATGATTGTAATGCTAATTTTTTTATTTATATTATTTTTTTTTTAATTACAACATATAAATAAAAATAATAAATAAAAAAAAAAAAAAAAAAAAAACAGAATCAAAAGACTTTTTTTTTTATAACAAAAAATATATATAAAACGTTGCATCATACTTTTGTTCATAATATTTTTTTATTAACATCTTCATTTACAAACAATGATATTTTTTAGTTAATAAAATAAAAAAAAATAATTTATTAATTTTTTAAATAAAACTTTTTTTTAATTTTTATTTTCCTTCTTTTTTTCTTTAAATTATTAAATTATATAAAAAAATCAACCATAAAATTACATGTAGTAATTTGAACTTGTTAACTGTTTTATGATTTTGTTAGATTTTTAGTAACGTATTTTTTAAATTAAAAAATGCATGCTCCTAGAATATTATTTTTTTTTTTTTGTAATTTTAATACAAGTACATATATAAGCACATGATATATATATATAAACAATTTTTCTTTCAATGTAGATACTAATTTTATAAAAATATTATCTTATAAAAATGTATGCTACTTATTATAGCTACACCGTTAGATGATATCTATATACACATAAAAAAAAAAATAAAAAATTATAAAGAATTTTAAATTGTAAAAAAAAAAAATGTATATTTTTTTTAATAGATTAATTTTAAAAATTTAGTTTTTATTATATTGATTTTAAGAATAAACATAATAAAATGATTAATATATTATTAAATTTATATAATTAGAAAATAATTTTTTAAAATTAAGAATAATGAAATATTATAAAGGATTCTCAAAGTGATTACTATAATATATTTGTAAGTATTAAGATATTTATTTTTCAAAATATATTTTAAATGTATTAAATATAAAAAAAAAAAAAAAAAAAAAAAAAAAAATGAATAAAAATAATTTTATTTATCATTGTTGATATTATATTCATGTATAATAATTTTTTTTCCATCTAAACAATAATAAAAAAAAAAAAAAAAAAATTAAAAAATAAAAAAAAGCAAAAAGTAGAATTAAGCAAATAAAAGAAAAGGAGATTAGGAAACAAATAAAAAAAGAAAACAAAAAAAAAATCAAAATAAAAGAAATTGTATAAAATTCAACAAAATATAAAATAAGAAATAGAAATAATGTTACAAAATAATGAATGTAATAATTTATATTTTTTAGCATTAAGTAGAAATAAAGCAACAATATATGAATATGATGTGAATTTAAGTAAAAATATTATAGATGAAATAAATGAAGAAATTAAGAAAAATGAAGAACAAAATAAATTAAGTAATGATAATGATACACTAGAAGAGAATAAAGATAACAATAAAATAAGTTTTTTAAATGAACCTCGTTCAAACATATTAAAAAAGTCTACAAGTAAATTTAATAATGATTTTTTATTAAATAGAGGAATTCGTGTATATAAAGAATATAATGATGTAGAATTAGCTACATGTACTAATGATTACAAAAATATAATACTTGTTAGAAAATCTAGTTTAAATGTTGCTGAAATAATAGAAATAAAAAATGATAAAAATATTACTTATATAAAAACAAAAACACAAATTAAAAGGATAATGACCAGTCCTAGAGATAATTACATAGTACTACATTGTCTATACAAACCAGATATAGTAAATACAAATTTATATGTGTATAAAATTGGTAATAAATCTAATAAAAAAAAAAAAAATAAAGAAAAAAAAAATATTGAAGAGAATAATAACGAAATTGAAGAATATAGTGAGAAAGGAAATAATATTAACGAGAATGATATTGAAAATAAAAATAATAACAATAATACGAATGATAATATAATTTACAATGAATCATTGGTAATTGAATTAACTTTAAAAAGTTACAGTAATCACAATTGGCCTTTTTTTAAATGGAGTGATAGTGAATCTATATGTACTTGTTTAATTAATAATCAAATAAATATTTACAAAGGTAATAATTTACAAACACCATTTAGTAAATTAAAACTAGATAATATCGAATTTTTTGAACTTTCACCAGAATTCAATAATAAAAAAGATATTTTATTAGCTACATATGAAAAGGGAAGTAAAGGAAATCCTTCTATTTTTAAAATATTTAATTTAGACAACTTGAATAAGCACATTTATTCTAAAAGTTTTTTCAACTCTGATGAAATAAAAATAAAATGGAATAAAAATGGGACAGCATTGTTATTACAAATTCATACCCAAGTTGATAAAGAAAAACATTCTTATTATGGTTCTAGTAGTTTATATTTTATTGACACTGTCACCTTAAAAGAAGTTAATATAATGACTAATAAAGGATTAATATATGATACCATATGGTCTAATAATCAGAATAAATTTTATGTTTGTAAAGGAGAAATACCAGCAGAAATTGTTTTGCATGATAAAAATGGAAATGTTTCTCATTCATTTGGTAGGCATAAATACAACACACTAAAATTAAATTGCAATGAAAAATTGCTACTAACTGGTGGCTTTGGTAACTTAAGTGGTGATATATCTATATGGAATACTGTTAGTAAAAAAGAAATAACAAAAACAAAATCTTCTTGTGCTGTTATATGTGAATTTTTTAATGATGGAAAGCATTTTTTAACAGCAACTACAAATCCAAGATTAAGGGTTGATAACAATTTAAAAATATATAAATATAATGGTATAATTGTTAGTAGAATTAATTTTGAAGAATTATATAATGTAATAATTTTACCATTTAATAAGATTAAATTTAATGAAAAGGAATCTATTGATTTTAATTTAGACAATTCAGATATGCAAATATATATTAATAAACAGTTAGGCATTGATGAAAGGAAAACAGGCATTTATAGAGCACCCAGATCAAGTGGATTATTAAATATGAACGGTAATTTAACTTCAAAAGATAATAAAGTTAAGTCATCTTTACCACCAGGTAGCAATTTTGTTAATGAAAATAAAAGTTATAAAAAGAAAAAAAAAAAAAAAAGTTCAAAAAATAAACAAAAAAGAGAAACATTTTAAATTTTAGAAACATTTATAATAATATTAAAGTTGTCAAAAAAAAAACATTTATGTTTCATGTAAAAGTTATATACATATATGTCTTCAAAGGTATGAAATTTTAACTATTCATATTTTTTATTTTGCATATAAGTTTTTATGTATTTATAATTTAAGATTATTTATTTTCCTTATTTAATTTTATTCCATTTCTCTTTTTTCTACTAATAATAAAAATAACTTAATTATACATTAAAAAAATCAAAGAATTTTAATATTTATGCAAATTCCTTTTTATTCATTCGTGCTTTTTTTTTAATTGAAATTTTAATTATTAGTATTTTAAATAACAAATTAATGTATAAAGAATGTTATGTTTGTGAAAAATGTTAAAATTTATAAAATAAAAAAAATTATACCAACAAGAGTTTTATATATGAAAGGAGGTAATTAAAAATTATTATATATATATATATATATATATATAATAAATGATTTTATGAAATAGGTACAAAGATAATGTTTAAAAGGAAAAGAAAAAATAATACTATAGTAAAATTTTTAATATTTTTCAAGAAAAATTTTAAATATTCATTGAGTTTTCAAATATAACTTTATTTTATTATATATTCTTGCTAAATGTATTTTTTAACTTATGTGCAAATTAAGCATTATAATATTGAAGTATTTAAATTATATTTGACCAATTTATATATATATATATATTTTACTTGTCTGTTCATTAATTTATTAATCCTATAAAAAATATAATTGATAATTGAAATATTAATAATTATATTTATATTACAATATTAAAAACATTTAGAAAATTTTCTAAATGTGCTTCTTTTTATAACGTAAAATATTACCAATGAAAAGAATATATCAAAATTTTTTGAATTAAAAAAAAAAATAAATAATATGCAAAAAGAAAATGTGTGCATATATAAAATACGATGATTATAAAAACTTCGTTTTCACATTTTGAAGATAAATAAATAGGACAGAAACATAAAGCGTTAAAGTAAAATAAATGATTCATTATGATAACTTGTATGTTTTTCAATTATTACTAGATACTTTTATATATATATATAATATTTTATAATGTTCAATAATAAAAAAACTATATATATACATACAAAAGAAAGTAATATCTACATGTATAAATTTTAAATAAAAATTAAAAAATATAAAAATTCCAAATAAAAATATTCATTTTCTTGATATAACCAATAGAATGAATATTTTTTTATTTTTAATTATTTTAGTTTTATCTTTTAAAAGTTTTAATATACTATATAATTATAAAAAGAAAAAAAAATGTATTAATATATGTATAACATATGCAAAAATAAATGTATAAAATTGAGAATGAAAAAAAAATTAGCCTTTAAGCTACATAATACCTGTTATGCAAAAAAACCAAAAAAAAAAAATATTTAATGAACATCAGTAGTCATTTATTTATTCACTTTTACTTTATTATTATATTTTGATATATATGTTAAAATTAGGAAGAAATATGTATATTTTTCACAAATTTAATTTAATATCACTCCTCTATTGTCCAATTAAATTTTTTTATTAAATTTTTATTCATTTAATAAAAATCATGTTTATATCACACTGTAGCTTTTCATATATATATATATATATATATATATATATTTAAAAGAATTTTTCATAATTTTAGTTTTTCTTTCATTATTTATCTTTGATAAAACTTATCTGAATTTTTATTCAGTTTTTCTTTTTAATTAAAATATATATTAATGTATCATTAAGTATTTAATTATGCTTATAAAATTCATTTAATTCTATGAGTAGTATTATATTCAATCTTTTTCTGTTTTTTTTTTTTTTTAATATTCTTTTTGCTTCCTTCTCTTTTATATTCCTCTTGTTTCTCTTTTTTTTTTTTTTTTTTTTTTTTTTTTTTTTTTTTTTTTTTTTTTTTTTTTTTTTTTTTTTGAAATTATAACTTCACAAAAATTAACATTATTGTTGAGCACAAGCTACTCTTCCACCTTCCATTTCTGGTTGATGGTCATCATCATCATAAGCTTCTTGTTGTTGTTGTTTACTAACTCTTTGTTTTAAATATTCCTTATCGACAGCTTGACATGTAACAACTTCAAATTCACTATTTTCTAAATCATAATTTTTTTCACTTTCATTTTGTTTTTTTAAAAATTTCAACACTTCTTTTTTTTCATTAGTTATAACTAAATCCATTGGATATTCTACTTCAAAAGTTATATATAAATTTCCTTTTTTAAATGGATCTTTATAGGTTGGCATACCTTCTTCTTTTATCTCTCTTATATCACCATGTCTAATAAATCCTGTATTTGTGCAATTCACTAAAATTTTTCTTTCATCAAGATGAGTTACTTCTGCAACAAACCCTGTTAATGATTGATATAAAGAAATTTTATAATTCATAAATAAATCAACTCCTTCTCTTCTAAATACGGGATGTTGCTTTTCATTTAATACAACAACAAGATTGCCTGTAATTACATTTGGTTTTTCATCAGCTTCTCCATTAAAAACTATTTTATGCTTATTTGGAGCACCTTTTGGTATATATACTTCAATGATTTTTCTTGTTTTTAAAACACATCCTCCTTTGCAATTAGTACATTTATCTTTTTCGTTGAATATCTTACCTTTTCCTCTGCATCCATTACATGTAACTTCAGTTTGGTGTAAAACACTTGAATGATATCTCATATATGTTTTTGTTCCTCTTCCATTACATTGTTTACAATCAACTTTAGCATCTTTTGGACCACCATGCCCTTCACAATTAGAACATATAACATCTTTACTTATAGCTAGCTTTTTTGTCGCTCCATTATATAATTGCTCAAGGGTCACTTTTACTTCACTTACAATATCTTCTCCTCTTTTTTTTTTTCCTTTTCCTGCATTTAATATAAAATCAAATAAGTCAGTTGCATCTGCAGGTTGTTCACCATTTTCTAATCCCTCTTCTCCATATTCATCATACAATTTTCTTTTTTCTTCATCAGCTAATACTTCATATGCTCTCGATATTTCTTTAAATTTTTCAGGATCTCCACCTTTATCTGGATGATGTATTATAGCTAACTTTCTGTAAGCTTTTTTTACTTCTTCAGTTGTGCAGTTTTTTTTTAAATTCAATACTTCATAATATTTTGAATTATTAACCTAAATAAAAAAAAAAAAAAAAAAAAAAAAAAAAAAATTTAAATTTAAATTTATATATATGTATCATTGTATTTTTACGTTTATACATTATCAAACATATATATTTTTAATTTCTTATTATTTTATTTAAATATTTCACATATAACATCACAATTAATGTTTTTATTAATTCTTATTTAAATGTAATATACAATATTATTGTTATTCAATATTTAAACTACTATATCCAAATAATTTTAATATTAATTTATATATATATGTATATATATATATATATATCATTATCTATTAACATTATAAGTGTTAATATTATGTATTTTCTTTTTCTTTTTTTTTATTTTCTCACTTCTCTTTTTCTACGGGCTTGCTGCCCACCCATAGAATCAAATGGAAAACCAGAAGAGAAAAACATTTTTACTTATTTTTTTTAGTTTATCAATATATTTTTATTTGATTAATTTTTATGGGACGTTCTATAAATATATAATTTTAAATTACTTTATCAATTATTTAACAGTATTTTTTATTTAAAATTTTTTTTCTTTTGAAATTTTGTTAAATTTTTATTTTTATTTTCTTGTAATTTTTCTCTTTTTTTTTTTTTTTTTTTTTTTTTTTTTTTTTTTATTTATTTATACATTTATATACATAAATGATTAAACGTAAATATATATAGTTATTAAATTTTTTCCCTTTTTTTTTTTTTTATATTTTATTTTTTTTTTTTTTTTTATCATTTTATTTTAAGAACGCATGTTCGTTGCATATTATATTTTTCATAATTTTTTTCTTTTAGATATTTATGAATATATATTGACTTTATAATTTTTTTTTTTAACATCATTAAAATATTACTGTTTTATTTATAACACAATTAAATGGCTTTAAGATTCCGTTGGCTTTTTTTTTTTTTTTTTTATATATACAAAATAAAAATAACTTTTTTGCATATTTGCTAAATATGCTTCTATTTTTTTTTTTTATTATTCAAACAATTATTTTGATAGTATATGTAAATGTATAATGATAAATTCATTTGTCTTTGATAAAAAATATATTCAGCAGAAATAGACTCTTTTTTATTAATTTTTTTCTTTTTTTATTTTTGTTATAATTAATTAAAATTATTATTACCTTCTTTCTTTTAATATTTAAAAAAGATTTTTAAAATATAAATCTAAAAAAAATGCTTCAGTTATGCTAAAAAATAGTACGAGAAAAAGTGGTTATACCTTATGACAAAAAAAAAAAAAAAAAAACTTTGTATGTTTAAAAAAAATTGGCATAAATACTATCATAATTTTTTTGTGAATAAGAAACATTGACTTACTAAAATCTACTGTTTTAATCAAGTATTTAAATATTAATGAAAGATTACATTTTTAATTATAAAAATAAAATATATTGAAATATATGTATATATATATATTGCTTCTAAAGTATCTAATTTTAAGAAATATATATAGATATACATTACTTCTTAGTATTATATATTTTTTTTCATAGATTATTTTTATCTCATTTTTTAAAAAAGAAGTTTATAATACTTCAAGTATAAGTAATATAAATATAATACTAAATATGAAAATACTAAAATATAATAGTTAATAACAGTTTAGCACATTTATTAATTAATATAATTATGCATGATAAAAACAAAGCATATGTAATATACATATTAAGTATATATTTTTTTATAAACATCACTTCTAATATTCCTTTGAACAATAGATTTTTAGTTTTGCATACCATTTTTTAAAATTTTGTAATATTTTAACTAATTATATTTCTATAACATTTTTTATTATTCTTTTAGTTTATAAGAAAAATATAGGTGTAATTTTATATAACTCTTTTAAAATATCATACAATTTTTTCTAAGATGTAATTGACAATTTTTTGAGTAAGATATTTTTGTGTATTTTTTGTAGTGAATTTTATTTATTAAAAATATGTAACACTCTTTAATTAAAATATACAATTTTTAATATATTTTAAAGCAATTTCAAAATAAAAAAAGAAATTATTTATTTATTTATTTATTTTTTTTTCTTTTTTTTTTGAATATTAGTATTAAAGCAATTACATAAAATTAAGGTTTCTTTCTTTTAAAAACTTTGGGATGTTAAGTATTTTTAAAAAATATGAGTTATTAGTATTTTTTTGAGGGTATATATTAAAAAAATGAAATTTTCATTGTTTTTAGAAAAATATGTTTATATATAACATTTTTTACTTTAAATTTAGATTGAAAATTTCTAATTTTTATATCATGAAAATGAATAAATAAAATTAAACAATTGAAGTTAATTGAAAATATCATTTATTGATTTTTTTTTTAATTATTATTGCTACTAATATTATTAATATTGATTTATAATAAAAAATTATATATTAATGAGATACTACTAATTTTTTTTTCATTTACTCATATAAAAATAATTGTTTGTTCCCATGTCCCATCTAATCTTTTTTATAAAAACATTATAGTAAAAGAATAAATATAAAGAAAAAAAAATTAATATAGAATATGAGATAATGATAATATATTAATATACAATTTTTTTTTTTTTTTTCTTCACAATAAATATACATATATATATATGAGAAAAAAAAAAAAAAAAAAAAA